TAGTTGTAGGTTAATGTCTCTGTCTCAGCTCAACACTGTCACCTATGTGTTTATTCCATAAATGAAAAATTTTATGTCTTCACATTTTTCTCCTAAACTATTTACTGTTCATGATAAAGCTGTATATACACATACATGTATATCTGACAACTTTTTCAACTGGCTGTTCATTGTCTCTTTTTCTTTCTTTTTTTGTGAGATATAATTGATATAACACATTATATTAGTTTCAAATATACAACATAATGATTCAATATTTGTAATATTGCAAAATGATCAATATCATTTAGACCACAATAAGTCTAGTTAACATCCCTCACCACACAGTTAAAATTTTTTTCTTGTGATGAGAGGTTTTAAGATCTACTCTCTTAGCAACTTTAAAATGTACAATATTATTATTAACTATAGTCACCATGCTGTACCTTACATCTCTAAGACTTATTGTATAACTGGAAGTTGGTACCTTTGACCACCTTCACCCATTTCCGCCCCCCTCCCCCCCACCACCTCCTGCTTCTGGCAACCACCAGTCTGTTCTCTTTATCTATGAGTTCAGTGGGGTTTGGGGGGTTTTTTTTGTTTTAGATTCCACGTATAAGTGAGGTCATAAAGTATTTGTCTTTCTCTGTCTTACTTCACTAAGCATAATACTCTCAGCGTCCATTCATGTTGTTGCAAAGGGCAAGATTACCTTCTTTTGTATGGCTAAATAATATTTCATTGTATATGAACCCCATTTTCTTTATCCATTCATCCATCAGGGGACACTTAGCTTGTTTCCATGTCTTGGCTATTATAAATAATGCTGCAGTGAACATGGGGATACAAATATCTTTTCCAGTTAGTGTTTTTGTTTCCTTCAGATAAATACCCAGAAGTGGAATTGCTGGATCATATGTTGTTCTACTTTTAATTTTTTGAGGAACCTCTATACTGTTCTCCATAATGGCTGCACCAATTTACATTCCCACCAACAGTGCAGGAGCGGTTCCCTTCTCTCCACATCCTTACCAACATTCTTTTCAGAGAACTTTTACTTTAAATATTTTTCTTATTATGACTTTTCAGGATCCCAACCATTGCCTGAATTGTGAAATCAATTAATTTCCTCTTTTTAAATCCAGTCTCTTGGCCCTGTAATGTTTTTCAAATTAGGAACTATGACACAAAGTAGCAGGATCAGTTTTATTGTAATTGCCACTCCTTCTCCACTGCCCCCCCTCCCCGTGCTCCTCCCTCTCATGCCTCTAAGTCCTTCATGCTGCATGGACTTCAGGGCCAGCTGCAAAATACTTCTGACTCTTCCAGATATAGCTTAAATGGGTCAGACTAGACAGCAGGAGGCAGACATTTAGGACCAGTATATGTGTGTATTTGTATGTGTATATCTCAAAAGCATATTGGACTCTAACACTCTATGGCTCACCCATTTAGCTATTTGCTGTCACATATTTTTATCTTGTGTGAAAGTGGCAAAAGATGACAGATTGAATATTTTATTCAAACTTGAATTTCAATTAGGTGACCTGATTTTTTTTTTTAATGTATTAGGCTATAGTTCATATTCTCAAGGTTTTCTAATGCACTAAAGGTCTCAACAGGATTCATGATCTTAATTTAAAACCCAAATTAAGTTTCTGCTATCAGTGTTTTATTTATTCCTTTGTTCATACACTTAATATTTCCTGTGTAAACAACTTTAAACAGCCTTTTAAAATAAGTATTATTCAATCCTGCATTTAGTTCATATAATTCAAACTTTACAGTAAAAGGGGAAAGATCATTATAAATACTGTTTGCGTCTTAACACGAAAGAAAAAGTGCGTAATTCTTTTTTTTTTTTTTTTTTTTTTTTGTGGTACGCGGGTCTCTCACTGTTGTGGCCTCTCCCGTTGCGGAGCACAGGCCCCGGACGCGCAGGCTCAGCAGCCATGGCTCATGGGCCGAGCCGCTCCGTGGCATGTGGGATCTTCCCGCACCAGGGCACGAACCCGTGTCCCCTGCATCGACAGGCGGACTCTCAACCACTGCGCCACCAGGGAAGCCCCATAATTCTTATTTTAAAACTTTAAAAAGTAATGTTCCATTTATACTGAATGGCAGTTTCCCCAACCCTTAGCTTTAATGAGTTTGATAAATGAAGCAGCAGTGCTATACAAGTCTCAAGTTCTTTAACTATGAAATATAATTGGCCTGCTTCTCGTATTTGTCAAGATCCACCATCTTCTTGTTTTGTCAGCTTATGCCATGATCACTGTTAAAACTCAATCACCAATGAAAGAACTTAGACATATATCTGCCTACTTGATTTAAATTGAACCCTTGTAATATATTTTCTATCATATAATTATGCATTTTTCCTTGTATCACTATTTAGTGTCATCTAAAAAATATGTATAACCGATCACTGAGATACAGGTTCAGCATAAGCTTTACTGATACTGAAAGAAATGATCATAACACTCCAACAGAAAAATTTTGAAAGACACACATGCACATACATAGTGTAATTTCCTGCTTAGTTGGTTATAAAGGCATTTTAGAAAGTCCTTGAATAAATAAGGCTTTTTCTTCTAGGATCAAATGTAGCTATGTATATAGTGCAGTCCATTGTACTCACTGATACACTCACAGGCAAGTCTGTATATTGATTGGTTTCTTTTAAATTATTAATTCATCTCATTTTCTTCTTGAGTACTTGTAGAAAGAATGATGGCACTGGTGATTTTTGTTTTTTTTAATGTTCTTTTCTCGTTTCATTTTTAGAAATATTTAATAATTAAAGTTAAGTATTATATATTAAAGTCTGTTGTCTTATACTAAACTACATTAAGAAATTATTTTCAATGTGTTTGTACCAACAGGTTGGTGATAGTATTGTTCACAAAGCCAGAGAAACCTTGGAACGAGCTATTAAACTGGTGAATGATACCAAGAAATGGGGTGCTAGGGTTGTATATGGTGATACTGACAGGTAATGAACTTTCTGTTTTGTAGTTGTCTTCTTGCATCTCCTCAGATACTCATTTCAGTGTTTGAAATGGCTTAAGGGTAATCCTTCCTAAAAATAGAGTTCTACCTAAGTTCTTTTCAGTCCTTATGATCTTGTGATTGGAGTTAACACAGGTCCTGATTTACCAGATATGATCTTAAGAGACAGAAAATGTATATGACCTGAGCCACAGAGTGCGAAAATTCCCAAGGCATCCCTCCAGGTAGCCAAGTAGATAGGGATCTGTAAAAACTGCATACACAGGAGTCTAATCTGTTTAAAGAAACAGCTTTTAATGTGAAGAATCCCTCAGATAGCTGCAGCTCTCTGAATTTAAATATATATCTTAAAATAATCAAACTGTTTTTGAACCACAGTTGCCAAAGATGTGAGTGGTTAACTTTTCACTGGGCCCCAAAATCTGTTGACCTTCTTCTATAAACAGTGCAGATTCCAGATACATTTTCCATTTGATTCCAGAGGCTCACAGACTTCCTGAAGCCCATCATCCTGAAGCCCATTCTATCCAAAGGATAGAATTGCCTTTGAATCCTGAATAACCTCAGCCTGCTTGCTTGCTTTGATATTTTTCAGGGCCCAGTTATTTATGTAACATCTTATTTATACGACTTATTAAAATTTTTCTAGAATATAGGTATTATGCAAATTTCTTAGAGTCTGAAATTTTTTTCATATTGAAGGCTTAGAGTCACAGTGCGATCATTCTAAGAGCACTTGCCTCAGGAGCTCTGATCACTTTACAGTGCAGTGGAGCAAGCAGAGATAATGCTTCTAATCACTAAAAATAGCTTCTAGGTAATCTTTAAACAGCATTTAATCTTCTCCAGTTTTTTAATGCATATACAATCAGCATGATCATATTAATGCTGAATGAGACCTTTCCTCCTATAGCAGCTGTTTCATTATCAGCAGGTGGGGATAGTTTCAAGTTATCCAGGCCCCAGTTATCCATAGTCTCTACTGTTCCCCGTCAAAAGCCACCCCTCACTTTGACTTTGGGTATTTCACTGCTCTGTAAAACCACTTCTGCTGAATAGTCTAGCAAAATAAAAATTACTGGAACATAGTTTTTCACCTTGTTAGCAGAGCTCCTCACAAAATATTTAGGGAAGAGGAGAAAGTTAAACTTTAAATTGTTGAGTTTAATTCAGGGTTTAAACACGTCAGTAGTTGACAACACGCACCCAGAAGCGGAAGTTGGCATGATTCTGACTGTAAGATTTTTAGGCATTCAAACAAACCAAAAAACACAGACCTAGAATGTCAGAGCTGGAAGAGGACTTTTTTTTTTTTTTTTTTGCGGTATGCGGGCCTCTCACTGTTGTGGCCTCTCCCGTTGCGGAGCACAGGCTCCGGACGCGCAGGCTCAGCGGCCATGGCTCATGGGCCCAGCCGCTCTGCGGCATGTGGGATCTTCCCGGACTGGGGCACGAACCCGTGTCCCTTGCATCAGCAGGCGGACTCTCAACCACTGCGCCACCAGGGAAGCCCTGGAAGAGGACTTTTAGGTCAGGAGTTTTCATGATCTAAAAGGGTTGGGAGAAAACCCTAGGGGGCACATTCTCAGATGCTACTTAAGAGCAGATTCCCCTGGAATAAGAAATTTGTCTAAGATTGCCCAACTAGTTAGCAGTGGAGCCATAAATTGGTATCTCTCTACATAAGACATCACAGGTTTTTATTATTCTAATCAAAAGTGTAGGAACTTCCCTGGTAGTCCGGTGGTTAAGACTCTGCACTCCCAATGCAGGGGGCACAGGTTCGATCCCTGGTTGGGGAGCTAAGATCCCATGTGCCACACAGCACGGGATAGATGGATAGATAGATAGATAGCACGGGATAGATGGATAGATAGATAGAAAGAAAGGGAGGGAGAGAGAGAGAGAGAGAGAGAGAAAAGAAGAAAAAGAAAGAAAGAAATTGTATTTGCAGATTTGCAGTATCTTTTTTTTTTGGCTGCACTGCCCGACTTGTGGGATTTTAGTTCCCCGGCCAGGGATCGAACCCGGGCCCTGGGCGGTGAGAGCGCCGAGTCCTAACCACTGGACCGCCAGGGAATTCCCTGCAGTATCATTAGAGCTTTTGACTACCATTCACCATCTGATTCATTCAACAAATGTTTACTGAAATACACTGTATGAGGGCAGTTCACTCTAGGGCATGCATTCTCAATGGTAATAATACTGCCCAGTAGTGCACAAGTTGGTCCTCGAGGAGCAAAGAAGTACAGTGGGTTTTGGCCCCACAAAGCTCAACCCTACCCAACAACATTTTAATCCTTAGTAATTACTTTCTCTTGTTAAATTTACTTTCAACTTTTTTGGGGGGAGGACAATAATGATAACATACTGAGAAACACTGCCCTAGGGATAATAAATGTATGCTTGGTGGAGGGAAAGAGTTCTTAACCAAGAGTGAGATCTGGATTCTCTTTCTAGCTGTGCTCCTAGCTGATTGCATGGCCATCAAAAAAGTCGCTTAGGGCTTCCCTGGTGGTGCAGTGGTTGAGAGTCCGCCTGCCGATGCAGGGGACACGGGTTCGTGCCCCGGTCCGGAAGAATCCCACATGCTGCGGAGCGGCTGGGCCCGTGAGCGATGGCCGCTGAGCCTGCGTGTCCGGAGCCTGTGCTCCGCAACAGGAGAGGCCGCAACAGTGGGAGGCCCGCGTACTGCAAAAAAAAAAAAAAAAGTCACTTAGCCTCCCTGAGGCTATCATCAGAATGAAGGAAATCTGATACATGATGAAGAATGACCATTGCCTCCCTCTAGTTTCAGGACTGCTGACTTTATGAATCTTGGAGTCTAGCTAAGGGAGATTGGTTAACAAAGCATCAAAATTACTCTGTTAGAAGGGTGTTTCTCTCTCTAGAGCAGTTATGCATTATTGTCCATTTAGACGGTATAAGTGTAAACACCCTGAATATCTTTATATTGTAGTGGTTCAAACAATTCTATATAATAGTGGTTATCGATAATATTTATCCAAAAAATAATAATACTTATCCCACCCTAGTGGGATAGACCTACTCCCATCAGTTATTGAAGCTCTCTGTAGTAGTGATTCTTAGGCAGGGTAGGGAAGGACGTTTGACAACACACATACTGCCGGGGCAGCAGAAGGGCGGTGGGGAACTAGAACAAAAATCTCTTGGGAAATTCATCTGCGTATAATTGAGAAAAGCCTCCTAGGTGATTCTAATATCCTCGCTTAACTCCCCACCCCATGTGAAATGAAAATCACTGCTTTAAATGTGATCTATCAACCAAAGATAAACATTAATTAACTACATTAAACGCACCAGTAACAGACAAATAGAAACTTTTTTTTTTTTTTTGGCTGTGCCACACAGCTTACAGGATCTTAATTCCCGGACCAGGGACTGAACCCACTCCCTTGGCAGTGAAAGCATGGAGTCCTAACCAACTGGACCACGAGGGAATTCCCTAGAAACTTATAAAACAGTCTTTCTCTTTGTAGGCTGGTCACCTACATTCTGTTAAGTGACCCAAAATTTCCATTAATCCCGGTCAGCTCTCCTGAAGCTTAGCTCCAACTAAAACTAGCCAAAACAGCACAGATGAACTCAAGTAAAACCCCTAACACTACTAGGTAAAATCTCAAATATATACCCTATAATAACTTTTAAGATGTAAAGTATGTGTTCCTTTAATTTTTTATCTACTTTATCAAGGTATAATTTTTAACAAAAAAGTACATAGTTCAATATACAAAATGTATAGACCCATGTAATCAGCTGCCACCCCAGTCAAGATATAGAAAGTTTCTATCGCTGTAGAAAGTTCTGCCATGCTCCTTTGCAGTCAGTCCCTCACTTTCATCCCCTGCCCCCAGGCAACCACTTACCTGATTTCTATTACCATAGCTTAGTTCCTCTGTTCTAGAGCTTTATAGAAATGTGTGTAGAAAGACTTCAATTCATTATTGCATCTGAACATTTTAAGCATAATAATCTTTGTTTTTTAAGTTTGGCATTTACATCTAAAGTTAAACATACCCCCTTAGCATGACTCAACAATCCTACTCCTTGGTATTTACCTAAGAGAAATGAAAACTTAGGTCCACACAAAGACTTGATGCACCTCTTCATTGCAGTTTTATTCTTGATAGTCCCAAACTGCAAACAGTCCAAATGTTCATCAGCAGATGAATGGATGAACAAATGTAGCATATCCATACAATGGAGTACTATTCAGCAATAAAAAGGAACCAGTTACTGCTACTTTAGCAACATGGGTGTATCTCAAAAATATGCTGAGTGAAAGAAGCCAGACATAAGTATGTACTGTATATTATATAAAATTCTTGAAAGACAAAACTAATCTATAGTAATTGAAAGCTGGTCATGTGTTGCTGGGAGTGGAGTGGAGAATTATTGCAAAGGAGTACAAGGGAACTTTATGGGGTCATGAAAATGTCCCTATATCTTGATTCCGGTGGTAGTTACACAAATATATTAATTTTCTAGGGCTGTCACAGATTTGGTGGCTTAAGCACAAATTTATTTTCTCACAGTTCTGGAGGTTTGAAGTCCAAGATCAAGGCATTAGCCAGTAGCTGTGGTTTCTCCTGAAGCCTCTCTCCTTGGCTTGCAGGTAGCCACCTCCTCACTTTGTCCTCACATGATCTTTCTTCTGTTCATGTACATTCTTGGTGTTTCTTTGTGTAATTTCCTCTTATAAAGACACCAGATTAGGCTCACCCTAACCACCTAAATTAGAGCGTCATTTTAACTTAATCATTTCTTTAAAGGCCCTATCTCCAAATACAGTCACATTCACAATGGGGGTTAAGGTTTTCAGCGTATGAATTTAAGGGGCACAGTTCAGCCCATAGCAAGCCTATACGTTTGTCAACATTTATGGAACTGTACACTTAGAATGTATTCATTTTATTATATGCAAATTATATCTCAATGAAGTTGATTCTTTAAAAAAGGAAATTTTGTAATCTATTTTTTTTAAAGGCTATACTGGTATAATGAGCATCAGATGGGCCTAGAAAGAAAATATTATAAAAAGCTTTAGGTGGTTCAGAATATAGCCTAGCTTAAAAGTATAATTAGCTATCTAAGGCCTATTTGTTGTGCGTTATGTTAAAATTAATTCAGATTGATAAATTTTTATTTTCAAGGCCTTAAGTAATATTAAATAAATACTCCTTAAGCTTTTCAGATCAAACTCTAACACAAGTACTATCTGCAATATTGGCAGACAAAGAGCTTTTCAAAAAAAACCATCCAAATGAGACTGAAAGTCCAATATAAAAGCATTTAAGAAATAATAAGATTGGTTTATGTGGTTCCAAGAATCTTAAAGTCCATGTTTCAAGATAGTATTCATTTCTACTATTTAATGTCTTTCCACTAAAGTTATAAATGAAGATCAGCTTTATAATCTCTATTCCTTAAGTATATTTATTCGCCATTACTTCTTTTGGTCTCAGATTGTGGTATATACTGAAATGTAAAGTGCTATTACAGTTAGCTGGATTATATTAGGAAAAAATGCCCAGTACTTTTATCAGTTATTTTTTATATTAGATTTTTTTTTTATCCGTATTAGAAATCCTTCCCTCTTGACCTGCATATACTGATGGTGGGATTGTATGTCAGAAATATCTTTCTGGACTTCAGTTTCACATTATCTTTCAAAAAATATTTTTAGTATATACCACTTATCTAGAAATTCCTCTTCTAGGAATTTATTCTAAGGACATAGCTTGCCAAGTTATTATTATATATTAAATATTAGAAAAAAAATTTAATGACTTAGATTTCCAGTGGTAGGGGTTTGGTTAAATTATACTATATCCATACATTGAAATACAGTACAACTGTTAAAATAATGTAAAAGAAGTGACATGGGAAAATGTTCACAATATACCATTAAATGAAAGGAGAAAGTTATCAAACTGTGTGATCTGTGATCCCAAATGAGAAAAGATTTACAGATGTACACAAAAGCCTTCTAGTGTCTTTTTTCTGAATGGTGAGATTATAAATGGCTGTTTTCTTTGTGCCTTTTTGTTTTCTAACTTCTTCAATGAACATATTTTACAAAATATACATGTGTTCTTTTCTAAGTTGGGTGGTTCTGGAAGGAAATTCCCTCCCATATCACAAGTAAATTTTCCATTTCTTTATAGTCATCATCTTTTATTTTGTGACTGACATAATTGTGTGTCATGGAAAGCTGTAAATGTATAGGAATGACCCAAGACCTTCTTGCCAGCTGTGACAGCTGTTCTGTGTGTAGCTAAACTAGAAACATTAGATGTCTTAAAGATCTGTAACAAGATATACCGTGAGCACACAGGAAAGTGTGACAAAACAAGAAAACTCAGGTAGGGAGCAACTTAATAAGGAAGAGTAAGGGGGAGAAAAAGGTTTTCCTTGGTTTTAGAGTATTATCCAGGAAAGTTACTATTGATGAGATTTTTTTTTGTTACAATGCCTTCCTCATTACCCTACTTTATTTTTAATCCTCTTAGTATGTTTGTGCTACTGAAAGGAGCCACTAAGGAGCAGTCTTTTAAGATTGGTCAGGAAATTGCTGAAGCTGTAACTGCTACCAATCCTAAACCAGTGAAATTGAAGTTTGAAAAGGTAAGAGAAATGTAATACTACTAACCACATATAAAATTCACATACCTTCTGTAGATTTCTGACTTTTTCAATACATTTTCAGATTTTGTAATGGTATATGGGTCTGTGAAAGTGTTAAAGTATTTTTCCCTTATTTTTGTATAATTTTCTCAAGTTTTTTTGTAATGTCTTATATAAAGAAATGAAAAGACTATTCCAGTTAACTATCGCTGTGTAACCCCAAACCTAATGGTGTAAAACAAGCACCATTTTATTGAGCTTACAGATTTTTATGGGTCAGGAATTCATGAAGGGTGCAGCTGGGATGGCATGTCTCTGCTCCACAACGTTTAGGTCCTTAGCTGACAGCTAAGGACTGAAATCACCTGAAGCTTGCTCACTCTCATGTCTGGGGGTTGATGCTGGCTGCCATTTGGGACACCAGGTGGGGC